GGTAGTGCAACTAAATGCAGAGTACTTGGAGTCTTTGAGTTTCTTTCGTTCGGTTGATTAAGTACATATCCAAGAGTCCAGACAATTTTCTGGCTTGGTGAACCATCTAAAATGACCTCATAATTGCAGAAAATTTATAGTCTGGGCTCATTGTCAGTCTCCAGAGTATTGTCTTCGTTGCTTCGCAGTGGAACTTGAAAATCCGAAATTAGGCTGGAAATGGTAGGGAGAAAATATATTATTATTATTATTATTATTCACAAACATCTTATGGGTACATAAGTGTTGTGAAGAAACCATTACGGAACAGTTTGTGGAATTAGGTCTACTATGATATTAATACTGCTCTAATAATAGAACTGATCATGATATAACTAATCTTACACGGAAGTCACATCGTCGTCCACACCAACTCATTGCATCGTACCAATCACTGATACATGATGGAGAACATGCTTAGGCTTGAGATAGGTCAATATATCTAATATGAATAAAAGATATAACATTCAACAGGGACCACGCCTGCAAGGCCGAGCCATGCCATTCGACCATCTCGGTTGCTATAAACGTAACTCAATTTCGCAAACGTGGCAGTCTCCTTAGCGACCAATCAGAATAAAGCTGGAATTATATCTGCCATCTTTATTATTATTATTCACAAACATCCTATGGGTACATAAGTGTTGTGAAGAAACCATTTAGGGTTTCTTCAAAAAATGCAATAATACACAATAATGTCAGCATTATACTTGCCATTTTAAAAAAATTTAGAGCAATAATAGTAGAATATTAATAATAATAAATCGGGTCTGTGCAATTGAGAAGAATATTGACTTGAGTCTAAAGAAGGAAATGGAGAAAATAAGGGGATAGAAGTAAAGAAGACGTGAAATACGCAAACAGTCTAATAGGCGTGTTTACGAACACAGAACAAGAATAAACGACTATATGTGTATCGTTAAATTAGTAACAAAAAAGAATTAAGAAAAAATAACTTATAATTGCAGTAAGATATGACGCTAGAATAAATGGTTGTGCAGTTATAGTTTAGAGTGATGCTATGAAAGTCTCAATTAAATGAATAGGATAACGAAATATCAATATGTATGGGTCATATATGCATAGTGAAGATGGAACGAGTCTGAGAAGTTAATTTAAGTGTAACACAAGTTATTGTCTTAATTACAAACTTCGTAATCTTAAGAATAATATTATTTAGAGGGAAAGAAGAGAGAAAAGAAGTGAACACTTAGTGAAAAGTTTTGATCCATGATAAGAATAATAATTGTGTAATGAATATCAACCTCAGAAGGAAACCAGCAATTGAAAAAATAAAATAAAAATCCGTTAAAGCACTCGGATGAATACATTTAGATTTATGTAATAGTATACAGAGTGAAACCGGATATTAGTATAAATATTTGTGCAATAATAATTAAGATTGATGCTATGAGAGTCAAAATTGATTTCAAAGGACAATCTGGAGCTAAATATGTTTAGAAGGACAAGAAGATACAAAAAGAATATCTAATGTGTCAGGGAACTAATAATGATATTAATAACGGAAATAATGATAAACACGAACATAAGCAGATTTCATATATTAAGATAAACAGAAATAAAATAAAATAGACGTGGAAAGATTTAAAGGTTTTATTTTGCTTTTCAAGCAATTAAATTGATGACGGACCTTGTTTGTATAAATCATGATTGAATACATTGATATTCAATAGGTGACATAATCCACTTTCGGAAAGAAAATCGTCAAGGAGACTTTTGAACCGGGTTGTAGTTTCACTGCAACGGGGGTTCACTGGCAGTCTGTTCCACATGGTTGAGTAGCGAATCAGGAAAAAATTCTGACGTAAGTTTGTGTGGGTTCTTGGAATCGCTAGAATATTCTCCTCATTGCGTAGATTGTGGGATGATATCATAAGGTATGAAGGGGTGGATACCGAAGAGTAGGAAATACCGCTAATAAACCGGTAGATAAAGACAAGATTTAATTTGATACGTCTGATCCAAAGAGGTTCTAAGTTGAGTTGTTGACATCTTTGGTAATAGTCTTTGTTATCGGAATACCCCAGAACAGCTTTGGTGAACTTTCTTTCAACACCTTCAATTCTAATCAGGTCATCATGTCTACAATTACTGTAAACTAAAATACCATATTCAAGAATGGGTAAGATACATTTTCTGTATAGTAACAATCTCGATTCGATACTATTGAAGTTTATCATTATCAATCCGATCAGCTTTCTAGCTTTGGATACTTGAGATATAATGTGTTCAGAAAAGTTCAGACTGTTGCTATATCTTAAACCCAGGTCACGAACAGTGTTAAGAGGTTTGAGTGTATGTGTCTGTACAGTCAGATTTAAGTTAAGACAGCGACCAATGTGAATAAATCCACTTTTGTCAACATTAAGTGGCATATTCTGCGAAATAGTCGATTCGTACAACTTGTTTATTTCCTCTTGGATTACCGCTGAAATATAGCTTTCTTTCGTGGGAGAAGAGAATGAATAAACTACTTTCAGGTCATCAGCAAAAAGGAAAGGCTTACCATACTGAAAGAGGGAACACACATCATTGATAAAAAGGAGAAAGAGTAATGGACCAACCACACTTCCTTGTATAACCCCACTGGTTTCCTTTCATTTTGCCGATAACATCATAACGGACAGTTAGGGTCATAGGCGGCAGCAACAATTATTTTAGCCTAAAAAACGAACTTCGGCTTTGGATATCTAAAAAACAAGTCAAAACAAAACCGATTTCCATTTTGAAACATAAGACTTGCCAGCTTACCTGAAGAAATACATTGACTTTAGTAGCAACAGCAAAAACCCAGAAAACAAAGCTAAATCAGAAAAAATGTTGCTTCAACATTTAAAGTATTACATTAACTTCTGCATTTTCACACACTGAAACATTCAATTATGTAGCTACACAAAAGAAATCGTGGCAAAGCACAGAACGAAGAAAGCCGGCCGGCATTGCATACAAAGGACTGTATATAAAGGACTGTATTCACTATTTTATTAACTATCATTTAAATCGTATTTGGATACTATAAATTATTTCATTTCCGAAATTACCTGTCCAATTCGGTGAGTCTGTCATAGTTTGTTTTTTTGACAGTGTTTTTTTCCAAAAAGCTGTTTCATATATTTGTTCAAGAAGCAACATAATAACTTTAGACGGTAATAATCTTCTAAACTACTTATCTCTGCACCTCCCAATTTTTACTAATACGGACTTTCAGTTTATATATGTATCACATACCGTACTTTTTTGATTGTTTGATACTAATTATCGACATTTCTAAATTACTTTACTATATAAGGCTATCTTTCGTGTCATATATGTTAAAATTTATACAACTTGCTCCTTTATATTCTATTTTGCCTCCACACAGATACTGACATAAATACTTCATCTCCACTACTATCTTCCTGCCATTGTCATCTTTTGTTTTTAACACCACTAATCCTCACGATACATTCACTCTTGGTTAAAACATAGATTTTGATTTTTAGACTAACTTGAGCCCTCGGAATTGATTTTTTCACCCCTATTTCCAACATTCTGTTCAAACCACTTGCTATACGTCACTTTATCATGTCACAAAAGAAAATGAAGACCCCTGCTCCTAGGCGTTCAGCCAAACGTAGGAAAACGACACAATTTAACACCTCTACCGATACGATTTCCAACAGTTTCAACGAGACGTGCCACTCCGTTCATCCGGAAGCAGACAGGCTTTTACCAGTTGTCTCCATTCCAGACATGTTGAAAACTCTGATGGTAAACAGTGATGATAATCGCAACTGCAACTATATGGATGCTATAAAAAAGTTGCAAGTAGACATGAACATTCTCAATCCGCTTAAATATCTCATCAACCCCAACCTCACAGAGACTCCAGATCAAATGAATGACATAAATATTTTCCTAGATCGTGTTGCATCAGAGGTATTTGAAAGAATAAGACGATCTAGCAATGCAATTGTGTTTAATATACCGGATACACATGCCCTTAAAAATATCAAATCTAGTCTGCTTAGAGCCAGCAATATGACACACGTACCATGTGTATGCACAAGATTAAAAAGAAGTCATCCTGGTATGCACTCACCGATCTTGTTCAAATTCAACTCATCTGTAGACGCCAGTGAATTTTTAAATTCCTCCAATTCATTGAGACAAAAACAGATTTTCAAGGATATTAAGACTCTTCCGGATAAAACACCATGCCAGCGAAAAGCAGGAAGAGATAACTACAGACCATCAGCTTCAAACTCTCAAATGCATCATAATCCTAATGGTTGTAACGTTAAGTCCGATTCTAAGAGGACGTCTAGCTTAACAACTTTGCCGCCACCAAAAAACTCTTCTGAATCTCATAAAGTTCAAAACCCAGAAGAAAGTAATCCCGATGTAGGTGGTGTCCATCCTCTTAAGAATGTTGACTTAGATTCAACCCGAAGTAGTTGTGCTGATGAAGAATGGGATAACACAATCCAAACCCCTGTTAGTGCAACACCCAGTTACAGTAACTGTGCAACGGATAACAGGAAAACTAATCATAACATTCATATAACTGACCACGCACTTAACGTTGATATATTCGAACCTCGCAAACCATCGCAAGTATGTTTAACAGTACACAATCCTCTCCAACTTATGAAGAAGCCGAAATCAACCACAAACCTTGGAAATAAACGTCTTAAACACGTTACCCATACGTCAGGTATAAATAGTTATCTGAATTGTAATTGGCCACTTGGTCACAACCATAGACCTGATAGCCTTCTTGGTCCGGCTCCCAATATGTACAGTGCGCCCTTATCAGATGTTATATCCAATAGCAATGAAAAGAATTTTTTTGTAATTCCGCCGGCTTTCCTGCCGGCAACGGTAAACATATTTCACATGATGACAAAGTGGTTGAATCTATTTCCCCTCGCAACACGACTCTTACCTTAGCTAATCCTATGAGTATTCATGGAACTACCAATTGCGATTTATACTCTAACCTGCTTCACTATGATGACTCTGAGTTTCTTATTCTTTCGTTCAATGCCCGCTCTCTGTCTAATAAAATTATTCATCTTAAAACTCTTTTATTCCTTGTTAATCCAACCATTGTACTTATTACGGAAACGTGGTGTAATTCATCTATATCCGATCATTCCTTGAATGTAGATAACTACGTTTTCTTTAGAACCGATAGATGTTATGGAATAGGAGGCGGTACAATTATCTATGTCCGTTCAGACATTCAAGCGTGCAAATTTGAGGATAAATCCCTTGATGCTATAGACGACTCCACTTGGGTTACTGTAAACTGTGGATCCCAAAATTATTTACTTGTGGGATGCATATATAGACCACCTCATGCGGATACTAAGTTTGACAAATTACTAACAAACATATTTTCCATTGCTTCGCACCAACCGCATACTTTTAAAATCATCGGAGGCGATTTTAACCTGCCAAAAATTAAATGGGGCTTGACTCCGGTACCAGGTCGATATAACAAGCTAGTTGAAACATTAGAAATTTGTGGATGGGTTCAACAGGTCCGAAAACCAACCAGGGGGAATAATACACTTGATTTAATGTTCACAATCAACATAGACTCTATCTCAGTACATACCAGTCATGAGTTTTTTATGAGTGACCATAGAGTTGTATTGGTATTATTCACTCTTTAAACGCCATACAATTGAACTCTAAAGCTTCATTGATGTACCAAAGCAGACATTTTGATCAACAAACATGGAAACGGACTGGAACTCTCATTCAATGTTTACCATGGGAAACTTATTTTACCACAAATAATGTTGACATTGCGCTTTCCAATCTATACCACAACCTGATATATTGTCTTGACTGCACTGCTCCAGTTATTGGCCGTGTGGCTTATAATGCTAATAGGGGCCAAAATACTTTTAAAAGAAAGCTGAGGAAATTAAAATGCCGCTACTACGAGCAGAATGATGTGTATGCACTTCAGAGTATACTTAAATTAATCAACAGAAATGCTTCATCTAAACGTAAGTATTTTATGAATATAGAAAATAAAGCTCTACGTAGTAAAAGCCCAGAATTATCAATACTTCGGCTTTTTAAATCCCGTGTAAAGTCAAATTCCCTTGGCACGACTAAATTCTTCATAGTTAACGGAAGCATTGTTAACGACCCGAATACTATATGTGAACAATTCAGCAAGCACTTCTCGCAGTGCTACAAAACTGGAACTGAAAACTCCATCATTACATTTCCAATGCTGACATCCAGACATCTGTCGAAAATTGATTTTACACCCTCCAACATCAAGCAGGCCATAGCTGCCCTGAAAAAGTCTTATGATGGTGGACCTGACGGGATACCTTCATCATTTGTGAAATATGGAAGTAGAGAATTTCCACTATTTTGTTTGAAACTTTTCAATCTATCTATGGAATATGGGACCTATCCATCTGTATGGAAAACATCCCTTATCACCCCTAGATTCAAAACAGGACCACGTAGTGATATTATTAACTATAGGCCAATTAATTTGACATCCGTGCTCTCAAGAACCATGGAAAAAATCATCCACAAACAGCTACTATCATTTTTACTTTCGGCTAGTCTGATCAGCCCATCCCAACACGGGTTTATGACTAAACGCTCATGTTTCACATCGCACCTGGAGTTTTTTGATCAAATTACCCAGAAAAGAGATGTTGGTCAGTCAGTGATAATTCTTTACTTCGATTTTAGTAAGGCTTTCGACATTTTTTTTTTTTTTTTTTTTTTTTTTTTTTTTTTTTTTTTTTTTTTTTTTTTTTTTTTTTTTTTTTTTTTTTTTTTTTTTTTTTTTTTTTTTTTTTTTTTTTTTTTTTTTTTTTTTTTTTTTTTTTTTCTGTGAATGTAACCAGTGGGGTTATACAAGGAAGTGTGGTTGGTCCATTACTCTTTCTCCTTTTTATCAATGATGTGTGTTCCCTCTTTCAGTATGGTAAGCCTTTTCTTTTTGCTGATGACCTGAAAGTAGTTTATTCATTCTCTTCTCCCACGAAAGAAAGCTATATTTCAGCGGTAATCCAAGAGGAAATAAACAAGTTGTACGAATCGACTATTTCGCAGAATATGCCACTTAATGTTGACAAAAGTGGATTTATTCACATTGGTCGCTGTCTTAACTTAAATCTGACTGTACAGACACATACACTCAAACCTCTTAACACTGTTCGTGACCTGGGTTTAAGATATAGCAACAGTCTGAACTTTTCTGAACACATTATATCTCAAGTATCCAAAGCTAGAAAGCTGATCGGATTGATAATGATAAACTTCAATAGTATCGAATCGAGATTGTTACTATACAGAAAATGTATCTTACCCATTCTTGAATATGGTATTTTAGTTTACAGTAATTGTAGACATGATGACCTGATTAGAATTGAAGGTGTTCAAAGAAAGTTCACCAAAGCTGTTCTGGGTATTCCGATAACAAAGACTATTACCAAAGATGTCAACAACTCAACTTAGAACCTCTTTGGATCAGACGTATCAAATTAAATCTTGTCTTTATCTACCGGTTTATTAGCGGTATTTCCTACTCTTCGGTATCCACCCCTTCATACCTTATGATGTCATCCCACAATCTACGCAATGAGGAGAATATTCTAGCGATTCCAAGAACCCACACAAACTTACGTCAGAATTTTTTCCTGATTCGCTACTCAACCATGTGGAACAGACTGCCAGTGAACCCCCGTTGCAGTGAAACTACAACCCGGTTCAAAAGTCTCCTTGACGATTTTCTTTCCGAAAGTGGATTATGTCACCTATTGAATATCAATGTATTCAATCATGATTTATACAAACAAGGTCCGTCATCAATTTAATTGCTTGAAAAGCAAAATAAAACCTTTAAATCTTTCCACGTCTATTTTATTTTATTTCTGTTTATCTTAATATATGAAATCTGCTTATGTTCGTGTTTATCATTATTTCCGTTATTAATATCATTATTAGTTCCCTGACACATTAGATATTCTTTTTGTATCTTCTTGTCCTTCTAAACATATTTAACTCCAGATTGTCCTTTGAAATCAATTTTGACTCTCATAGCATCAATCTTAATTATTATTGCACAAATATTTATACTAATATCCGGTTTCACTCTGTATACTATTACATAAATCTAAATGTATTCATCCGAGTGCTTTAACGGATTTTTATTTTATTTTTTCAATTGCTGGTTTCCTTCTGAGGTTGATATTCATTACACAATTATTATTCTTATCATGGATCAAAACTTTTCACTAAGTGTTCACTTCTTTTCTCTCTTCTTTCCCTCTAAATAAGTATTATTCTTAAGATTACGAAGTTTGTAATTAAGACAATAACTTGTGTTACACTTAAATTAACTTCTCAGACTCGTTCCATCTTCACTATGCATATATGACCCATACATATTGATATTTCGTTATCCTATTCATTTAATTGAGACTTTCATAGCATCACTCTAAACTATAACTGCACAACCATTTATTCTAGCGTCATATCTTACTGCAATTATAAGTTATTTTTTCTTAATTCTTTTTTGTTACTAATTTAACGATACACATATAGTCGTTTATTCTTGTTCTGTGTTCGTAAACACGCCTATTAGACTGTTTGCGTATTTCACGTCTTCTTTACTTCTATCCCCTTATTTTCTCCATTTCCTTCTTTAGACTCAAGTCAATATTCTTCTCAATTGCACAGACCCGATTTATTATTATTAATATTCTACTATTATTGCTCTAAATTTTTTTAAAATGGCAAGTATAATGCTGACATTATTGAAAATTGTGTATTATTGCATTTTTTGAAGAAACCCTAAATGGTTTCTTCACAACACTTATGTACCCATAGGATGTTTGTGAATAATAATAATAATCTCCGTTTTTCAATTTTCTTCATTACTATGGATAACACTATCGCAACAACGAGTCAATCTAATACTGAGTGCCCAGCAGGAGGGAGTATCAGTATTGTTTTTTAAAATACCCAGACTTCCGATAACCATAGATGAAGTCACTGATGCTGCCAATCTATGAGGTGTGTTTATTATGAAAAATATGCCAAGATAGTAGTAATAGAGGGTTTGTACTCATTACATCGTGCGTTAAGCAAGCTTAACATTGAAAAGCCGGAACTCTGTTATCAGTGTGTAATGTATGTTTGCTGTTTTGGCCGTAAGGGGAAGCTGGACGGTCGTGATCAGGGAATAAAAAGGTAATGAACTGTTATTAGGCTCACTTTCTTATAGACCATATCTCACCACTCGCAAATTTGTGTTTTTTAACGGTATGATGTCAACTGGTACCTAATATGTTCACCCTTGCGATGAAAAGTACCTGTAAATTTTCACCTTCATATTCGAATTATTTTTGGACATCTGTCTTCCACTTTGAGCGCTTCGTACGCCCTGGGGAACTCGATTCATACATCATTCGTAGTTCCAGTATAACTTTCTCATGCAGTAAGTTCAAAGTAGAAACTAGTCTTTCTAAATAAGCCTGTTAAGCTAATATCCTATTCTAAATTTCAGTTAATCGATGAAGACATGTACCACGTGCATCTGCTGTATACTGCCATCTTACTTCAATTCTTACTGTCATATCTTAATTTTGAAAATAAAATTGTTATATTGAGTAAATACAGACTTATTTGTTTTGATGGAGATAGGAGGTTCATGGGATGCTTAGCAGGACTGCAGAAGTATTCTAAATAAAAAGCTAAGCGAGTGCGTAGACTAATGTAAGGTTCCATACAAGGTGCCTTTTAGTTACTAGTGTTCCAATAGTGTGTGTAGAGGCATTGATTACTTATCATATGGCATTTGAATAAGAAACTATGAGATTGGACGCAGGGACAGTTAGGATGTGTAACGCGTGTCCGTCCATCAGCTGCCGTGGCAACTCATGGTGGTTAGAACAAGTTGTGAGGGGACCCGATTCTGTAGGTTTCGCAAGAAAGTGAAGAAGATATGTACTACATCACTTAAACTTACTACATATTAACCAGGTGCTGAGAGCCTCCAAATGCCCTAGTACGACCGAGAGTGGGGTGGGTTCGCCCTCCCTCCCGAAATGCTCTCACATGGCCACGCGTATATAGCCTCTGCCAGGGAAGTTCTACTCACTGCCTTTTCGTAGCGGGGGTGTTGTTTACGAAGTTGAGAGGACGAAAAGCGAATGTCCGGCGCTTTAACCGGATTCCAAACCAATGGTGCACATGGGCTCCAGTATCCTGCGAGAACAAATGGCGTATGACCAATTGTTGGTCACCGGCTTCCATGGGACTGTATCTCCTCACGATGCTCGCATTAATATTATTATTTTTTTATTATTTACTATATCACTATTCACCCTCTTTTATTTCCATTCTGTTTATACTTATTTTTCGACTTATACAGCAGCACGCCTGTGGTGGAAATTCGACTCTATCTAAACTTTCTGGAGTCACTGTCCGGTTGAAAATTGTATGTTACCACCGAATATGAGT